AGGTCTGACGAAGGAAGCTGGCGAGCGGTCGCGCAGGTACTTGCCCATTTATGACCTATTTGGGTAAGTCACTTGGAACCGATACACAAATTAGCTTTCAGTAGGCGTAAATTATAGTATTAATACAGATAGGACAGTAGCGTACTAGAAAATAATGTAGAAACATAACTAACTAAAAAGAAACAATAAACCTATTACTTTTGTTTTATAGTTAGTTTTCACATTCACTGTCATCATGGGAATCTCTATCACTGTCACCAACATCAACAATTAGTTCTTCTGTTTGTATGTCTATTACTTGCACATGGATCCCTATTTTTAAATATTTAATCTACGCCCCTGATAGCAATACTGAAGAAAGAGGGCTGCAATCATTACACCTAAAACTGCCTACTTTTGCCACCGAGCATCCACGCCATTTTAAAATTTCCGCCAGCTTCCAGCGTCAGGCCTGTACCTATAATTACTGACCGAAAGCAAAACTTGAAATATAATAAAACTTACCGGTTCCTGTCGTACATTTGGATGGTTCCTCAGGATAAATAATGGCAGTATCTCTCCTGTGCAAATACTCCTTCAGCCGATCCTCTTCTTCGCGCCTTTCTTCCCCGACTGCTGCATTAACAGATTCCATTTCGTCCTCAAGTTCTTCGGCTGTTCCTCCAGTTTTTAACACTTTCAGTTTGACCACTTCTTCGGGTACGACCGCTCTCTCGTGGACTCCATTGAGCCTGTCGTAAGGGTCGTCGACAGTAGCGACTTCCGTGTGATCAGATTCGGGACTCATTGGGCTCGGGGTGGTTAGTAATGGACAGGACGTCACGCTACTGGACGATGGAGGACATTGCTGATCAGAGTCGCTGATATCCAATTCGACTAAAACAAAGAAAACTATATCATACTTCACCTTTTATCATTTTTTTTTGAAATCATCCAAATTTTAGCTAGTTCAATCTTCATAACAGTCGAATATAACATTAGAGGAGATAGTTGCACCAATATCCATTACAAACATACCTGCGCTGTCTTGTTAGCATTGTTAACAATAAATTTGCACATGAAGTTTCAATTGCTAAATATTCGGGATTGTGTTTGCATTTGGGAAGATAAAAAATGCATCAGGACTGGGATTGAGAAAGCTTTACCGTCGACGTCTGAGGGGTGCGAAAGCTCTCGTAAGGTGTGCTCCTGGAATAATATAAATAAAAATTGTAAAAATATTGAGCACTACATTCGCTATTGTTTCGTTGGTCTTCTTCTGATCGATTTCTTTGTCATTGTGCCAAATCTATTGGAAAAATGCTTCTTTTCTTTTTGAGAGAACGGAAAATTCTGAGGCAGATGGTGATGCAAACATAAACTCCATTTCGGACAACCAGAATCTACCACCGATAAAATGTGATATTCAATTCTTGATATTATTGAATAGGAATATGCATAGGTTGAATTAAGTTTCGTGGCAGTTTAGTGATGGAAAATGTTTTGAGATAATCGACTTCCTCAACGTTCTTTTTCTCTAGTTGTGGAAATCTAAATTTTTTGAGATGATCGACCTCCTCAACGTTCTTTTTCTCTCTAGTTGTGGAAATCTAAAGTTTTGATAATTCGAAAGTTATTTCTATATTCTTTGAAGCATCTGTTTTTGTTGGTGGTTGTTTTTTAAGAAATTTTTTTGATTAATTCCCTTTTGCATGTCAATGAGCGGAGCGTTAAGATAACAAAAGAAGCACAGGACCCAGGAAGGAGAAAGGGCCGTCAACGTAAAGTACGCATGTAGACAGTGCAAGCAGGTCAGCCCGACCGAATCGGCCGAATCCGCTCCACTGATATGATAAGTGATGTATGTTCGGCAAGATAATGTTCTGATTGATGATGCGTCGATCTCGTCCGGCCTGTAATGACCGGCATATTGAGACTTCCTTCCTACTGGACCGGCGGTGGTCCATTGCAGGGCCCTAATGGCCCTAGTCATGCCAAGGCCATAGATCTCCGTCACCTTTCAAATCGTCAATTGTACCGTTATAAATACGAAAAATATCGAAGAAAGTGATTGTTAAACCACGATCTATAACCTAACCATCACATCAGCATGTTTTGATATACCGATCCAAGACCGCGTCACATTTCTTACCACGACAGCTTTTCTTTTGAAGATAAAATACTTATGACTACACCCTAACTAGTATTTTTCGACACAAATATAATCACTGAATAAGCTACGTAACATGAAGGTGCAGTATGTACTCAAAAAGCTATAAATTCGGTGTCTATTAGAGATGACCCGATTTGGATCTGATCCCCCGCGGATCTGGCACTTTTTTAGGAATCGGCCAGTTACCGGATAATGACGCAGTGTCTCATTGAAAATGCGCCAACCAAGAATTAAAATTTTGCTGGGGGTGGTATTTAATGGAAAGCTTGTCAGAACGAAACCATCAACCATTAACAATAGCGGTTTTACCGAGTACCCAGTAGAGCTAATGTAGAGTACCCGATTATCTGGTACTTATTATAATGACGTTGAACGGACCGATGGAAATTAGTCGTTATAACCGGTTGCTATATCCAAACGGTACCCCAAAACATGTAAATTTTATTTATGATAACTGTTTTGCTTTTTGCATAAAGGTCATTAATCAATCTGGCTTTGTAGCAATTTCGTGAAGGAGCAAAGGCGTATTTGTTTTGCGTTGACATTATTTATACACGTCTGAATAACAAAGCAGCAACAGTAGGAGCAATTTTCTCGATTTTCTAACAAAAAGATGCCAAAAGCAGCTTCTTATACTTTTTAAGGCTTATGCAAATGACAACCGCTAAACCGTTTGTCCAAATGCAACGTTCGGACTAACGATTTGCTCGAATCCTTTACCATTATGCGAAGACACGCGACTCCTCCCGTCAGTCCGTCGTCCTTCTCCAGGGTAACGGATGACGGGAACGGAGAGAGGAATGAGAGAAGAAGAGACGTCGCCTTATACGTACTATATAGTGTAGCTCTGCTACACCGTCACATTTTCCTCGAGAGGACACGAATGCAATCTTCCGTGATCGCTTTTTACCTTTATGGTATCAATTTTCAGCCACTCACTCGGTCTCCAGTTTATTTACACTCGCTCGGATCGTTTCGAGAAAAAGGGAAAGCCTGAAGGACGTGAAAGCTTTCGTGACACCGCAGGAATAATAAAGGTTACACTTGCAAAAATGAGAGGAAAATCGACAGGTCGATTTGAAAGTCAACAGTTTCAGAAAATTGTATCAGATACAATCTTTTTAATGAAAATACGAACATATGTCCCCTATAACCGACTGATTTCGACATCCACTGTTTGCTATTGCAAACTCATTGGGCATGAACCGCCTGTCTGCATATTCTGCATCTTTACGTACAACTGACTTGTCTACGTGTCAGCTGTTTACGAAGGTCACGATAGGTATGTGTGTTTCGTCGAACGCCGAAAAGATAATGCGGTAACTGTTCTCAATCATTGACGGCTCGTTAACTGGGGTACTTTTTGTGCACACTTTTTACATCCCCTACATTGTGGTACTATAACGAGATGACGAGTGCCTTCAGATGTTAAATTGAAAAAGTTAGAGACGTCTGAAATGAGAGAGAAGGCAACAGGCGATTTGTGTTGTTTTAGAGTATTACGTTGGCTATAACGAGAACACGCACAAGTGTGATAAAAATAATTGGTTATAACGCATACATTTTTATGCTATTGTTCTTGCTATACAAGATACAAAGATCAATAGATTCAAGGGCTTTAGGCAAAAAAAATGGCAAAATTGGAGATGATTGAAATGGTCCACGGTAGTTCCACTTTTCTTCTTGGGGGTAAACATTTGTGATTAATCACAATGAGTAGATACAAGCACACAAGAAATTCCACAACACCCTATTATCTTGTAAAAGCATCAATATCTACCCGAGCTATTGACGTAATAACTTAATATTAGCGATGTGCGTTAATTCGCGTTGTTGTGTACGGACCCTTCGGGGTGCGTGCATCAAGTAATATTTTCGGGGGAGGAATCGCAATCGTCCTGGCAATATAATCAATTGCACGCTTGTCCGACGCTATTCTCGCCGTGTATCAGCGTTTTCGTATTCAGCCAAGTCGTCGAATAGGGTGACGGAATACGTATATGGATAAGGACATAAATAAATTTCGTACTTGAATGGCAACACTTTCCATCTCAACTGTTATTGTACACAGCACTCTCCATTTACTTCTAAGCACTCACGTCGTACAATTTATGAAAAATAACCCCCTAGATGTAGTAATATTATACAAAGTGCATTGAAAATATTGCAATAAAAATGGTCGAATAAATATATTTCAATCAATTAAGGAGGGTGCTCTTAACGCCATTGTTAATAAATGAACGAATAGTTGAACTGTTTGTTAATTTTAGGCGGGAGAACTTAAAAAACATGACAGACGACATTTATACTGACTTGCTTTATGACAAATGTGAATGGATCAATGGTATGCATGTTCCGAATGGGCTCGGTATCTATTCCCGGCCGATGTTACCTTTTTTTCCGTCTGATGTTTATCAATTTTTTACTAGTTCTTTTTCAATATTTAATAAATGAACCGAAGAATGCGTTCGTTTGATTTCTTAAGACCATAAGGTTGCAGTAGGAAAAAGTGCACTACATTTAGTATTTGGGTTGGTGTTAAGTATATTTAGTAATGTCGCTTCTGCGGAAGGATTGTATTAAACTTTGCGATCCTAGTAAGAAAAGGAATAAATACAATGCAAACTTTAGTAATCATGTAAATATTTTCCAATATTCAGACCCAATTTCTAGAATGGTTTTTATTAATTTGCGTTTGTCGAACATTTAGGAGAGATTTAGAGGAAGGATTAATGGTTGTGATAATTCGAAGATTTCGAAGGTTGGCGAATTGGCATGTAGGATCGTAGTAAAAGAAAATGAAATTCTTGATCTGTCCGGTCGCGTAAACAATCTACGAAAGTGATCCCTTGCTCTCCCTTGTCTCCCGACAACTTTAACTGCGAAAGAACGACAATTTACAGTTCAGGCAACGTCGTTCTTGTACTCCACGCGAATCACGTTAATAAGTTTCTGTTTTCCAACGAGTTCAATGCCAATTCGACATAATACATTCGGAATATTGCGTTCGCGACATTCTTTTCGACTTTTACGTATTTACCCAAATCTGTAGAAATGTATAAAATAATCATGAGAAAAAATTTTAAATATACCGTGGATAGAGAAGGTTAGGAATGAAGAGGTATTAGAAAGAATAGGAGAATATAAAAAATAGGCGAGATAGGTTGGTAGGAAACCTTCTCAGGCATGAAGGTCTAGTCAGAGACATATTAGAGGCGAAAGCAGGAGTTAGGACTAGAGGTAGACCCGAGATAAAAATGTTCAGTCTCTTAGAGTCTCCTAAAGCGAGACTCGAGTCTCTGTCTCTCATCGAGTCTTTCTGGTGTCGCTGAGAGAGACTGTCAAAAAAACTGTTTAACGTCTCTGAACGAGAGACTCGAGTCGCTCATACAGAGATCCTCATTTCGTATCCAGTCTCTGAACGAGAGACTCGAGTTGCTCATAGAGAGATCCTCATTTCGTATCCAGTCTCTGAACGAGAGACTTGAATGTCTGAACGAGAGACTCGAATCTCTGAACATGAGTTTCGAATCTCTGAATGAGAGACTCGAATCTCTGAACGAGAGACTCGAATCTCTGAACGAGAGACTCGAATTTTTGAACGAGAGACTCGAATCTCTGAATGAGAGACTCGAATCTCTGAAGGAGAGACTCGAATCTCTGAACGAGAGANCGAAGAAGAACATAGACTTTCACGGCCGGAATCCTTGACAGAATTATTATT